GCAAGCAAGCCTCCCTGTTCACTTCAGTGCATGGCTGCCGGCCACCATCTTGGCTGGCAGTTAATTTGCATATTGCCCTGATTAGCCAATGGGAAGGGTAGCGGATGTATGGCTAATTACCATGTTTCTCTTTTATTAGATAGGATAGATATTTTAACTCACGCACAACAATAAATCCTATATAACAAGAGAGGAATATGCTAATTAGCCGTTACACCCTCAGGTATAACAACCAAGCACGTCACAACCAGATCACGGGTCAGCAGGGGGTGGGCCAGCAAGGTACAATTGGGCTACAGAGAGCTACAGGAGAGGGCAGGGCAACAAGCTATGAGGGGGGCGCGGGGGGAGCTACAGGAGGGCGGCAGCAGGCAGAGAGCTACAGGAGGGCAGCAGCGACCTACTGGCACATGGATTCAAGCACAAGGCTACTAGTAAATAAATAATTTGTTTACATAAAGACCCTATTGAGTGGATGAAGAGATAAGCTACAGACTTGGAAGAGTATTTGCAAACTGCTATCTGAAAAAGGACTTGTGTCTAGAATTTACAAAGCACTTCAAACTGTTTTTCATTCTCAACCATAAAAAATAGTCCACTTGTAAATGGGTAAAAGCCAGGTACAGACATTTCACTGAAGAGGATATACAGGTGGCAAATAAGTACATAAAAAGATATTCCACATCACTAGCCAGCAGGGAAATGCAAACTAAAACCAGTGAGATATCAGTGTATGCCTGTCAGAATGGCTAAGATAACAAATAGTGACAACATGGATTATCACCAATTAACACCAATTATTTAGTGCTAACACCAAATAGTGATATCACTAATAGTGATAAGGATGTGAAGACACCTTCAATCCTACCTTGCTGTTAGGAAAATAAAATGGTATAACTACTCAGGAAACTGATTCTTTGAAGACTATTCATGAAATTATCATACTGCCCAACAATTGCAGTCTTGGGCTTTTATGGCAGAGAAATAAAAACTTTTGTTCATGCTTCATAGCTTTTTTTTTTTAATTGTGTACTTTATTTTAAAATTTTTATTTTTCAATTACAGTTTACATTCAATATTATTTTGTATTAGTTTCAGGTATACAGCATAGTAGTTAGACAATCACATGTTTACAAAGTGTTTCTCCCGATACTCCTAGTACCCTCCTGCCACCATACATAGTTATTAAATATTATTACATTCCCTGTGCTGTACCTTACATCTCCGTTACATAACTTCTTTATTTGCAATAGAAAGTTAAAGCAACCCAGGTATGCTGTAATCGGTGCATAACCAAACTGGGTACATCCATAGCATGAAATATTACCAAAGAATAAAAGGTACCAGACCATTGATGAGCACAAACCTTACATGAATCTGCAAGAAATTCTCAGATGAAGGCTCAGTGAAAAAAGTCAATCCCAAAGGTTACATGCTCTATAATTTCATTTGTATAACATTCTTGAAATGATCAAAATTATAGAAGTGGAGAAAGGATTAGTGGTTGTCAGAGATTGGGAAGGAGGGTTTGGGGGAAGGAAGTAATATTGTTATATAACACGGCAACACGCGGGGACTTTGGCTCCCCTTTTAGGAACTCCTGTATGTTCTGTGCTCGACTGTGTTGGTGATCGTACACATGTGCACACGTGGTAAAATTTGTTTAAAACTAAATACAGCAAGGAGTGCATGTAAAACTGATGAAATCAAACCATGTATCAATGTCAATATCTGGGATATTGATGTTGTACTATGGTTATACAGATGTTACTATTGGGGGGGAGAGAGTGAAGTATATACAGGATTTCTCTCTACTATGTCTCATATGTGAATTTGCAGTTATTTCCAAAATTTAAAAAAGGGAGGTGCATAACCCATGTAAAAGTCCCAAAGAAGCCCCCACGTAGTGGAAGCTAATAATATAACTATCCATAGACTTATTCTTTTCACCTCTCAAGGCATCCCTTTGAGTTTAAAAAAAAAAAAAAAAAGACAGTTTCAGCTATCATTAGGGGGTATAGTATGATTTTCCCAGAATTTGGAGATGAGAATTAAACTAACAAGAATAAAATAATTAAGGAGAGTAGCCATTAGCCACCATAGATGCTTCCACAACAAAATGAGGAAAGCAATGCATAGTGAAAAGTAACCACAGAGGAGAATCTGAGGAAGGTAGGCCTTCAATATGTGTGTACAGTTAAGGTATTAACTCATTTTGGGGGAGAGCCATCTGAAGAAAGAAACTTACTTATGAGGAAAGGTGTCTGCATCCTAGAGAAGCAGGAGCCCAGAGAAGAAGAAAGTGTTTGGCTGTCCGGAGCCTTGCTTTGGAGGGAAAGGACCTCGTCCTAACATTGATCTTAGAGTTAGAGTTGGCAGAGCTGCCACTTACGGAACTTGTACTATGTGTGCGGAGTTACTAGTTCACATTAATCCTCAGCACAACACACAGGATTACAGATATCTCCCATTTCCCCCCTTCTATTCCCCTCCTAATACAACTATTTTTATGTAACAGTCTATGCAATTAATAAAAGCTAAGTAGCAGTTATCTCCATAATTAAACTGAGGCTTAAGAAATGAAATAACTTCCGAGGGAAGGTCAATGGGGAAAAAAGGAGACATATGTACTACTATTTTTAATACTTTAAATAATAAAAAAAAAAAAGAAATAACTTGTTAGAGATCAGATGCACTGCAGAACTGGGTTTCGGTCCTGCGCATTGCCATACCATTTCCATTACACCATGCTGCTTTCTTTAAAGTGAATTAGCACATGTAACTTGATGCCATGGTCTTAGAATTATCTCAACTCTCTTCACTCTATTTTCCTGATTCCAAATTCTGATTTCCCCTATAGGTGTTCCTAAAAGAGGAGCCAATGTATTTGTCCATTTGGCAGTTGTGTTTCTCGGTGTACATAAATCAGTTGGCATTATGGTTTATCCACCAGTCTGTTTTTAAAATGGTTTATAGGCATGAGTTCTTCTGGGGCTGATAATTTTGGGCATATTGGAGCATTCTGTTACTGCAAAGATATGCTACTGAACTTGGCTTAACCTACAAGTACTGGTTCAAACCCCAGTAAACAACTTTTCCCAGTTAATTATAAAATCCAAAACAATGAGCAGCAGTTTCTCCCTAGAGGTTCTATGTAATCCCATATCCTTCTCCTGTCAGATCACCTCTGGAAATCACGAGGGTATTTTATTTACCAGGAACCAGTATTTTTTGCCTTAAGGATTGTTAACATCCAGTGTCTCAAATAGATTTTCTGTCATGGTTTTGGGCAAAGAAGTAAAGTGATAGTTGTTTCTTTCTGTTTTCTACCAATCATTTTTCATAGGCACTTCTGAAGCTCTGCTTTCCACTTCATTTTGGTGGGGGATTTTTTATTTATATATTTTTGCTTTAAAATATACCATCCAATGGAACTGGAGACCATTATGCTAAGTGAAATAAGCCAGTCAATGAAGGAAAAATACCACATGATCTCACTCATTTATGGATAATAAAGACCATTATAAACTTATGAACAAAAATAGATACAGAGGCAGAGCAGCCTCGAACAGACTGTCAAACTACAGCAGGAAGGCCAGGGAGGGGTGGGGGGTAGGAGGGAGGGTAAGAGATCAACCGAAGGACTTGTATGCATGCATATAAGCATAACCAATGGACATAAGACACTGGCGGGTAGGAGAGGCCAGGGGATTGTCAAGGGCGGGCAAAAAATGGAGACATATGTAATACTCTTTGTAATACTTTAAGCAATAAAACAAAAAATAAATAAAAAATAAAAATAATAAAAAATAAAATATACCATCCAAAATGCCTAGCATATGGCTTTCCTCCCCTCCCCCATTGTGTTGGAAGGAACAAATTTAAAGTTACACACAACACATTTTCCAAATCATTCATTTGAGTGTCTTCTGAGATTGTTGCTCAATAACGTTTTGAGAAAAATTCAGATTTGCAAAGCATTTGTCATTTCCTCCTGAGTTGCTAATTTATTTTGTAGCCATTTATTTCTAACATTCTTGTTACCTAAGCTGTAGACATATGTACATGCTGGACCCATAGATCCATAAATCCATAAATGTTAATAGCACTAAAAGTAGGTTTGACTTTGTCTTTGGTACCTAGTTCTAACACAAAACCTTCTCTTCCAAGTCCTAACCCAAACTCTTTTGTCGTTTCTTAAATACATCGATACTTGTATAAGGATAAGTGTCATAATTAGAAACTTTCCACCAGTTCTCAATGAAGACTCTGGAATATCTGAGCTAATGCAGGATAATAATCATCCATGTTACCTTGCAAGGATTTCCCATGTAGGTGGTCGTAATGTTGAACCATGGTTTCATAAGATGCACTCTTTTTCAACGAAAGTAAACTTCCTGTCTGTCCTGAATCAGGCACGTTTTTGTCTTTGTTATTAATACCTGTTCATTTTCTTTCAGTGGAACAGGAATGGATGGGAAGAAATTCAGCGTATGGATGTTTTTACCTCTTGTATTTACTTTATTTACTTCGGCTGGATTGTGGATAGTGTGAGTATCCTCTTATTTATTATTTAAGGATTGGAGTGCAATGTAGATAACAATGTGGTTTTGATAGCGTATGGCATATCTAGAGCAATGTGTTTATAAACACTTTAAAAAAATGTTTACAAATTTAACCTTGCTAAAGTCCCCATTTCTCTTCCCTTCTTCTGTTACCCAAAGTAACAAGAGTAATAAATTATGTAAAGCAGGTAGTGAAGAATACTAGACTCTTGTGTTCCCATGTCCTTCCAGTAATGAACATCCTAAACACTGGTGGTATGGATTCATTATTTGCAAGATTTGCTAATTTGACACTAACATCCTAAAGATTTTATGACAGTCCAGTTCATAGTCAGGGTGGTTTTTTCTGTGATTAGTTCTGGTATGTTTATAAAATGGGTATCATTACATTGGAAATCTTGTCTTATCACAAAACATTCCCACTCTTGCTTATTTCAATTACTGTTCACTTGTAGAAAATTATTTTAGCCCTAACCAGTTTGGCTCAGTGGATAGAGCGTCGGTCTGCGGACTGAAAGGTCCCAGGTTCGATTCCAGCCAAGGGCATGTACCTTGGTTGCGGGCACATCCCCAGTAGGAGGTGTGCAGGAGGCAGCTGATCGATGTTTCTCTCTCATCGATGTTTCTAACTCTCTATCCCTCTCCCTTCCTCTCTGTAAAAAATAAATAAAATATATTTTTAAAAAAAGAAAAATAATTATTTTAGTTCCTTGCAGTTCATTAAGAAAGGTGGAGTGAGAAATTAGGAAATTAGAAAATTTGAATTCAAATTTTAGTTTCCCCAAAGCTGTAAGGTCTCATTTCTTTGTTTTCCAGTTTTCAGATTATAATTATTTACATTAATTTTGGGGATGTTTTGAAAATTAAAGAAATATTATTAAGAATGACATTTGAGCTTCAAAGAACTGTATGATCTAAAGGTAAAAAGCATTAGAGTAAAAGAGCATTTTCCTGGTTCGGGAAAGATAAATAGGATCTAACGTGGTTTGTCTAATAAAACTGGGAAACAAATTATTCTTGTTTTTTTTTAAAAAAGTCTTTGTTTTATAAACTTTTATTGTTCTTCCTTCATAGATACTTTATAGCTGTGGAAGATGACAAAATTTACCCATTAAATTCAGCTGAAAGGTAAGGTTTATCTCTGGGTAATTCATTGTTCATCAATAGACCTAACAAAAACTTTGCAATTGGTGAGGTTAAACTGTGCACAGATGACTGTATTTAACCTGAACATCTATGTTTTCTGTTTTCCAGGAAACCTGGTGTGAAGCATGCACCATATATAAGGTAATTTGATAATTCTCTTCTGATCTATGAAAAGGTTACAGGAGGAGTGTCTTAATTTGGGCTACTTACCAAAGTAGCATAGAATGGGTGACTTATAAGTAACAAATTTATTTCACATAGTCTGGAGGCTAGAAGTCCAAGATGAGAGTGCCAGCATGGTCAGGCCCTGATGAGAGCCCTCTTCTGGGTTACGGACTAGCATCTTCTCACTGTATCCTCACAGGATGGAAAGAAGACGAGAGAGGTCCCTTTTGTAAGGGCACTACTCCCATTCATGAGGGCTCCACCCTCGTGACCTAATTACCCCCAATGGTCCTACCTCCTAATACTACTTTATTGGGAATTAGGATTTCAGCATATGAATTTTAGTCCTTTGTAGAGGGTTATAGACTTTAACACAGTAATAAAAAAAACATTTCATATTTTTCAAGTATTGCAGGTGATCAACCTCCTGCAAGCTGTGTGTTTAGTCAAGTCATGAACATGGCAGCTTTCCTAGGTAAGAAGATAATAAAGGATGCTTTATGTGCTTTGGTACATTTGTATTTATCTTCAGTTCTCCCAGGCCCATATCAAAAGCATGGCAAGCTTAGTTGATAATTTGGGATCATATCATGGGGAAGCTTTTTGTTTTGAGGGTATCTTTTCTCATAAATCCTTTTATGTTCACCCTGTTTATCTTTCATTTTCTCATCTCTTTATCATCTTTATCATTTCAGTGTACTCTTGGCTTTATTTCTTTTGCTGCATGAAATAATATATTTCACATATCACAAAATCTTGCATGTGAATGTAATATTGTGCAATATTTTTTTTAATGCTTTATTTATTTCTTCACTGGCAAAAATGAAAAATGCCTAGGCTTTGTGGTAAATATTGATGTGTGTAGATACTGTTTTTTAAATTTAAAGGTGATGCTCTCCCCTGTGTCTATCCTATACACATATCAAGCTGGCACATGGATACATAGTTTAAAAAAAAAAAAAGAAGCCTGGCTAGTGTGGCTCAGTGGTTGAGCATTGACCCTGAACCAGGAGGCCACAGTTTGATTCCCGATCAGGGCCTGGGCTTTAGGCTCAATCCCCGGTAGGGAGCGTGCAGGAGGCAGCCAATCGATGTTTCTATCTCTCCTTCTCCCTTTCTCTCTCTCTGAGATTAATAAAAACATATCCTAATATATAAAAACCCTGGGTCTGTCACTACCTGAGGCTCAACCAGCCGGAAGTTAGTCCTGCAGTCGCGGTGACCCAGCACTGACTGCTGAGGGGACTGCGAATCAGGCCTGGAGGGAGTCCTGAAGAGAGAAGCAGGGTCTGATCCGTAGCCTCTATGGCAGCTGTTGATCAGCACTTGCCTCTTTCTTTTCCTCCAGCAGCCCTGCCTCCATTTCTCTCCAGGCCTCCACTAGGGCTGCTGATCAGCCCCACCTTTCTGGTCAGTCCCTGTTGATAGGCCCAGAGACACTGACTGGCATAGAAAAATCAGAACCAAATCTAAGTGAAGTGTGAGGAGCCAATGGCTGCCTAGGAGGCAGAGCTTTCGATGCTGACTGGCATAGAAACCTACCAATCAGAACCAAATTGACCAGCAGAGGAGGGCAGTTGGGGGCAGATCAGGCCTGCAGGGGAGGGCAGTTGGGGGCGAGATCAGGCTGGCAGGGGAGGGCAGTTGGGGGCAATCAGGCCAGCAGGGGAAAGCAGTTGGGGGCAAGATCAGGCCGGCAGGGGAGGGCCATTGGGGGTGAGATCAGGCCAGCAGGGGAGGGCAGTTGGAGGCAAGATCAGGCCAACAGGGGAGGGCAGCTCGGGGCGATCAGGCTGGCAGGAGAGCAGTTAGGTGTTAATCAGGCCAGCAGGGGAGCTGTCAGGGGGTGATCAGGCTGGCAGGCAGAAGCGGTTAAGGGCAATCAGGCAGGCAGGCAGGTGAGTGGTTAAGAGCCAGCAGTCCCGGATTGTGGGATTGGGCCTAAACTGAGTCAGACATTCCCCGAGGGGTCCCAGATTGGAGAGGGTGCAGGCTGCATGAGGGACACCCACCCCTAGTGCATGAATTTTGTGTACCAGGCCTCTAGTTTAAAAATAAAAAAGAAAGAAAGAAAACTGTTATACTCATGTCTGGCCCCAAATCCTCACTTTTTCTTTGGGGCCCAAGACCCTCATTTAATATCTGGTCTCCTTTGTTCTGTGAGAGCTTCTATGACCTGGTGGTCCTCTGGGGATCGTGGGAACCAGCCATTCTCCCTGTTCTTTTCCAACCAGCCTTCTCCTCAAGGCCAGGCCTTCCTAGTGTCTTTCAGAGGGTCAACCAACTGTCATCATTAGCATGCTGTGGAGGACAGGCCAGTGACAACTGAATATTTCAGCAGTGGTTTTCTGGAAAGGGTTCTTTTGGAAGGTGAGATTTTTCACTCTATGTGAGAGATGAAGGTGATATTATTACTGAGGAAGTATTCAGCCTTTTTGGTATCTGTCTTCCTAAGAGGTGACCTGTTATTTCATCTAAGTACAAACCCCCCCACCCCAACCAAAATATTTCTACTCACCTTTTTTGGTTTGGCTTTTTATTTTTAATTTTTATTTATATTAAATTTATTGGGGTGACATTGGTTAATTGTTGGGGTCCAACCCCAGCAGGTCCAGGGGTCCCCAAAGGTGTGGACAGAGTCAGCGAATAGTGAAGGACACAGAGACAGCGTTCAGTCAATCATCATAGCAAGGTTCTCCAGCCAGGTTCTGTAGCCAGGTTCTGTGTAGGTTCTCCAGCCAGGTTCTGTCCAGGATCTCCAGCCAAGTTCTGTCCTTTATTGTCTTGTTACATCTGTATTTATACCAGTTGATTTTAATCCTGTCAATTTCAATTCCAAAGGTTAGGGCGTTTCTTATCTCCATTCCAGGGAGTAAAGATTATGTAGCTTAAGGGTGATTGTTCATAGTTAAAGTGATTAACTACCCGCCTGGCATTTAGTTAAGGGGTTTTATTCCCTCCCTAACTCCAGGGAAAAATCCCTACCTGGGGAAACAACCTTTCTCGGAGAGGTGACCTTGGTTAAAACACATAGAGCCAAGAAGGGGAGCAAACATATTAAGAACAGTATGCCATATACGCCTGGTCCCTTGAAACATATGCCATGCAGATGTTTCTTCCCTGCAGCTACTGTGTCAAGCAGCAAGGATGGACCGGCTTCCGGCAGTTAATATGGTCGTACGGGTTTTAGGTATAGGTTTCTACGTTACAAGATCTGTATATTGCACTGGGTGCCCACCACTCAAAGTCAATTCTTCTCCCGTCACCATATATTAGAACCTCTTACATCCCCTACCCACTTCCCTCTGGCAACCACCATACTGCTGTTTGTGTTCATGAGTTTTAGTTTTATATCCCACATATGAGTGAAATCATATGGTTCTTAGCTCAATTCACTCTTAACATGTTCTTTTCTTTTTTTTTTCTTTTTTTTTTCTTAACTAAGATGTCTTTATTTTTTTGTGTGATTAATCACTATGCTTTAATTATGTTCAATTTGTAACAATGAAACTGGGGGTCACCACAACATGAGGAACTGTATTAAAGGGTCGCAGCATTAGGAAGGTTGAGAACCACTGGTCTAAGGTTTATTTCTACCTCAATTGCTGGCCCCTACCCAGCCTGGCCCTGGTCCGGGCTTGGGCAGGAGGCAAACAACTGATGTGTTTCTCACATCGATTATTTCTGTCTTCCCCTCTCTCCCACACTCTCTCTAAACATCAATGGGAAAATATCCTCGGGTGAGGATTAAAAAAACAAACAAAGGTGGGTAACCTGGTCAGAAGGTCAAATCTTCAAAGTGCATGCAAGCTGCTCCTCCCAGGGCATCCAGACTGAATGTTCCTGAGCATCTCCAGGAAGGCCTGCGGGGATGGCGCCTCCACATTCTGGAAGGTGTTCTGGACTCTGCCGAACAGGATGAAGTATCTCTCCTTCCGAGAGATGAACCCGAAGTGGTTCTCATCGAACAAGATGAAGACTCCAGGGCAGCGCCTGGGGTGGGGTGAGCCATATGAGGAGTTGGGTAAGGCAAATGAGGTAACATTGTGCACAGCATAGAAACACATCCTGCAGGTTCCCGGGTAGTTCTCATCTCTTGGGAGCACGACCACAGGCAGAACAAACGGAACAGGCTGCTCCTCTGAAGCTGCAGCCCCGGACTCCCCGACGCTGGGCTGGGCAGGGCTCTGCCAGCCATGGCCCTCACTTTCCTCAGTCCCGTCTTCTTGCTGCTGCTGCTGCTGCTGCTGCTCCCGGATCACCTGCTCGGCAATCTCCTCGACCACGCGGGAGAGCTCCTTGAAGTTGCGGAAGAACTCGCCATCTGGCAGCTGGATGCGGCGCATGAGGTGGATCTCTAACATCCCCATGGAGTCTCCCGTGAACTTCGTGACCCTGGCATACTTCCCATGGAAGCTGAGCATGGCAATCTTTAGGCCTAGGCTATCGTATCTGCATTGGAAGAGGCCTGGCCTGGTGAGGTCGTCGGGGTGGCTCGAGGGGAGGTAGACGCGGCGGTAGGTCAGCCAGTCATACCGCTGTCAGAATCCTTTCTCCCCTAAGCCGCGTTGGTGAATCCGTTCGGTGGTCTCTCTTGATCCACTCGATGCTGAACCTGTCCTTCCGAATCTGCATGAGGCGGCTGTGGGAAAAGCAGTAGATGTCGTGCATGCACTCCACCGTGGCTGATTTCCTCTCCGTCAGGCGAATTCTAAACGAGGGCTCGAATTGCATTGGGCCATCCACATGGGTGTTAAGGGAAGGCACGCACGTCCAACCAGTAATGCATAAGCCATCCACCGCTACATTCAGCAGTCTTCTATAGTCATGATCTAGCTGCCACAAACCCAAAATGTTTCTGTATGGGTGGAACAGCTTCGCATAGACTTCTCGATAAGACATACCCATCATCTCTGGTTTCTGCAAGGTTTCAGGAACTCCAAACTCCTCCCGGCAGCGCCTTCTCCAGATGCTGTCCATGTGCAGGATGTGGTGGAATTTGGTGCAGACCTGGGCCAGGCTGGGCAGGTCGGTGCCGGGAACCCAGGCGAAGATCTCCACCAGCATCTTCACCGGCAGGTCCTGCAGCGAGCAGTGCGGGGGCGGCGGGGGCAGCATGGGGCTGGCGATTCCTCCACTCCCCGCACAGCACCGCGCTGCCGCGTCCCCCTCGACGTGCTTTTCTGCCAGGGCCGGCTTGCCACTGGCCGCTGCCGTCTCAGCTGGGACGTGGCACTCCTGAAGACACCGACATCCCCGCGAAGAGCCCACGCCGCACAGACCAGCTCACCCCTCCATGCCTCCACGCTTAACAGCCGCCAAGTGTGGGCCGCTGCCCCTCCGCAGGGTTTTAAACTGGCTGGGTCCGCCCTAGAGTCCAGCCACGCCCCCCAGGGCCTAGCCACGCCCCCTCAGAGAGGAGCCTTGTAGGACTTTATTTTTTTTATTTTTTTAAATTGTTTTATTGCTTAAAGT